ACCTTTCATTGTCTTCTTACTTCTTGGAAAGGTGCCTGGGCGGGCAGCAAGCTCACCCAGTGGACAAAGGGGGAGAGGGCTATTTGGAACACTGCCTCATGGTTGAGTGAAAAAATTGCTCTTCCAGCCTTGAGTGGCATTAGTCTGAGTGACTCTTCAGTGTAGGTGGTGAGGAGGTAACTTCAAGGGGTAACAGCAAATGCTTCCTGCAGAGGGTGCAGGTGGGCAAAGTTGCAAATGTTTGGAAGTTGGGAGCACCCCTTCAGAAGAGAGAAAGAAGTGCTCCTCTCATGTATGCACCATGGGAGCAGGTGGGGCTCAGAAAGGAGAGGGTCTTGCCTCAATGGAAGACAGGCAGTGGAGGCAGCATGCTGGGAAGGTACTAAGGAGCCCAGAGGCTGTAACAGCTAGCGTTTACATAGTGCTCACCATGGGCCCAGCACTGTCCTAAGTGCTCTGCAAATGTTAATTTATTGAATCCTCCCCAAAACCCCACAAGATCAATATTATTACCATCCTCACTCCACCAATGAGAAAATGAGGCACAGAGGTCACACAGAGGCTTTTGTTTCTTGGACTACCTTTTCTGAGCAGCTCTGGGGAGGGTTAAGGGTGGGGTGGAATGAGCCAGCGGTGCCAGGTGAAGTTGGGCTGCAGCTTCAGCTAAAGAATTCTTTGGGCTATCACCCAAGACCTTATTTACTTATTTCTCTAGATGGCTGGTTCGGCCTGGGAAATAAAAGGTTGGATATAAGTGAAGCACAGCAGGCACAGTGATTATGGCACAGAGATACTAAGAGAAGTTAAGAACATGATACAATCAACAACTTCTTGGGCATTTCTTTTCAAAATAATGAGTAAGCTCCACTGGTTTGTTCAGGTTATCATCACAAGAACAGGTTGTACAGTATTCTGATTCATTTCTTGGTGACTGGCAGAAAACATGGTTGTATAAAACAAGCTGACAAGAGAACAATTGTTGTTGAGGATCTTGTTAAGTGTGGCCTTGATCCTAAAGTAATTCTATGAAAAAATACTGGCGAGAAGCGGGTAAGCTTTGCATTGCAACATTTTAACTGACAAAGTTCTCTCCCCAATTGCCTAGCACTTGTATGTTGCCTGGATATGCATATCTAAGAATTTATCTAGTCAGTTTGGTACAGGAAAACAAATACAAACGTTTCTTTTGTACTTAAAAAAATATTATCCTGTGACCTTTTTATAAATATAGAGATGTACTGGCTATAACTTTAAAAAATCTATTTATTATTTCAATTAAATGACATATTAATTTTTGTGTGGAATTTTGCCCAGGATTCACACTTACATAGTGTTTACACAATGCCAAGTGCAAACCTAAAAGATAAGTCAGTCAGTTTCTTCAGATAGTCCTAAATAGCTAGATGTTTGATATTGTGATGGAACATATCTAGGTAATTGATGGACTTTTTTTTTAATCTGAAAATTTTGATATTGTGTCTGAGAAAATATTTTCCAGTGATACGAAAACAGATGTCTTGCCATGTGTTATGGGCTGAGTTGTGTAGCCCCAAAATTCACATGTTAAAGCCCTAACCTCCATACCTCAGAATGTGACTGTATTTGGAGATAGGGCCTTTAAAGAGGCGATTAAATTAAAATGAAACTTTTAGGGTAGGCCCTAATCCAATCTGACTGGTGTCATAAGAAGGGGAAGTTTGGACACAGACAAGTGGGTGCACAGAGGAAAGACCATGTGAAAATATTGTGAGAAGATGGCCACCTGCAAGCCAAGGAGAGAGGCCTCAGAAGAAACCAACCCTGCTGACCCTGTGATCTTGGAGTTCAAGTCTCCAGAACTAGGAGAAAATAAGTTTCTGTTGGCTAAGCTCTCCAGTCTGTGGTATTTTGTTATGGCAGCCATATCAAATGAATATACCATAATAGAGTGAAAAGTGAGTGTGCAAAATGTTCAGGCGTTTATTAATTTGCTTGTCAACCTGTTTACTTCTCTGCTAATTTCATCTTTCTATGTAGAAATTAATTTCTGAGTGGATGAAAAGACACTTAACATTGTTTGAATTAAATCATTAACAAGATATAGAACTTTTGTTAAAAATAAGCACAGTCTTCACTTGCAGACATGAGTTTGAAAACATATTTCCAGTAACTGTGCATTCCCACTAACTAATATTTTGAGACTAATCTGTAGTAACCTTGGAGGAACTATACAAAACTATGTATTCTTTTGTCTCTTAAGATATATTTTGAAAATGTCTAAGAATAGCCATTGTTCAGTACTACAAAAAGTGATGTCATTCATTAAAAAAAAAGTCTCAAAGTATATTCAGGTAATAGAACCCAGACAAGTTTGAGGAGTAGCCTTAATCATCACCTTATTACCTGAGAATTTTTACTCTCAGAAATAACTATAAAATGGCAGATGCTTACTAAATATTAATAACTGAAAATGAGAATTCCTACTTTGCTTTTTGTGAAGATAACAATGTCATTTTCCCTGCTATCATCCTTGCAATGGAATACATATTTTCTGTTACACATTTTAATTTGGTTTTTAAGAAAAACTACCGGAAGACAAAAGGCATGTTCAAGTAGTCATATTAAATAATACAACAACCAAAAAGATCAAGGAAAATGCCAAAACAAAGTTGCTATTTTAGAGATGAATAATAGATGGTTCATGCCTGCAATCAGTAATATACATACAGGATATTATTTTAGGTGAGCTGTAAGAAGTGAGCATGTTTTGGCAAAAAATATTCCAGTCAACTGATGTTCAGTTTATTTAAGTAATTAAACTTAAGAAAAGGACACATTCATAAGATTTAGGGACATATGTTTGCAAACTGCTTTTCAGAACTGCTAATTGTATTGGTTGCTATTTTTAGGAATTAAGTGCTATCTTGAGTCAAAAACTTCAAATTAGTTATTAACTATTGAATGCAGTTGTTATGTTTTAATAGAGTCCAACAATTTTAAGCAGAACTTGGAAGTTAGAAAAAAATTACCCACTAATAGGAATCATGACATGGAGGAGAAAAACATCCCTCTCAAGTGTCACCAAGTAGCAAGCAGAAGGCTTCCAAAATCCACAAAAAGGAGAGACATGTAAATAACAAAGTCCTGTTAAAAATAAGAACCGAGAAAGAATTCTGAAAAGAAGGGAATTCTGCAAAGGTCTTTACAAAAATCAGTCAAGTTTCAGTAGGAAGGTATAAGAAAGTAAATCTTAAGCTGCTACTAAAGTGCTTAGCTAGCAGAATAAACCTGTTTCATTTTCTTTCTTGCAGCTCTTTTTATAGGTTGCGAGGCAAAAGTAGAAAGCTTCTGCAGGTCTTGAGAAATGGCACAAACTGGATTAAGTGTGACTTTTAGGAAACCTAATCTGCTCCCATTAGATAACATTATTACCTTACTTGTTGCAAGTCAGACTAATCTGTGAATGAATTGCCTTACCCTCACTTTAGGGTCTTTGATGGGTATAATGAATGAATCTAAACAATTTCAAGGTGACTTCTAGCAATGTCCAACAGAACTTGCCGCAATGGTGGAAATGTACTATATCTTCTCTGCCCAACAGAGTAGCCACTAATCACCTATGGCTACTGAGCACTTTAAATGTTGGTGCTACCGATGAACTGAATTTTAAATTTTATTTAATTTTAATTAATTCAAATTTAAATAGCCTCACGTGGCCAGTGGTTATCGTATTGGGCAGTGCAGTTCTAGATCCCTTCTGCCTCTTTAAATGAAGGCTTCAGGCATCATCTTACTACATATCGCTGTGTTTTCTGGGATTAAATATTGTCCAAGGCTTCTCAGTTCCTCAGAGGTATGGTGATCATGTAATTGTCTAAACTGGGATATTTTGAGAAAGACAATGAGTGTTACTAACAATTACGATGAGACAATAAGCATAATCTGAGATGGTCTATGGCACAGAAGACGGTTGTTCCCCCAACGCATAGGGATTGTTGCTTGCAGGTTCTATTGGGAAGTAACTGGGCTATACATCACTTCTTTTTAGGTTATAGATAACATTTAAGCATCTTCTGGGACACACATTTCATCAAACCATAATCTTCTCCCACAAACATTTACCAAAACCTCTATAACTCATTTCTGCTTTCCCGGGGACTTCCAACCACAAAGTAAAGCAGTGTCTAACATGATGCCAAATGACCAATTCAAAATGGAAGTAAATAATCAATCTTACTGATATCTGAGTTTAGACCAAGTATCTGAATAGCTAAATTGGGTTGCATAGTTAAGCTTTCTTCTGGCTTTTTGGCAAGGGCAGAAAGAGCCAAAAAGATCAGAGCAATTTCTTTGCAATAGAGAGTTACTCAGCATTTCCTGACAGACAAAAATTTTCCCAAAGGGATTAAAGGCTGAGCACGTGGCAGTTCATTTAGTCTAGATTCCGATTTTTTTTTTTTTTTTTTCTGGAGAGTGGATCCTGGATATGAGTTGCTTTGGGTATTT